TTTTAAATTAGAGTTAAAATTAAAAAATTTAAACTATTACAATTAAGCTTCTCGGTTTACGAAGGAAGAACTAATCTTTTTAAATATTTTCCTTTTTTCTAATATATTGTAAGTTAATTTCTTAGTATTACAAGAACCCAAAATACCAAATTTAGCTTGAACATTAGTCTAACTGTATAATTATAATAGTACAAATATTTTCAAATATGTTTGATAATTTCAAACAAAAATATAATAATCTTCGACGGTTCATAATCTTAAAAACTTTTATTTAAACTCAATTAAGGAAATATGATAATATATTATAGGATAAAGCTACGTTTACCCTCCTCCGTTACACCCTCCATTACACACACCCATCTCCGTTACTTTGTCGTTAACGCCCAAACACACCCAACCCTTTCTTTCTCTTTCTCCTTTCCTATCTTGGTAGTTCCAATCGATTCGTGGACATCTTCGATCATTCCCCTATTTTCTCAAATGGTCCACCGCTGCCATGATGCTTTCCATTTTTCGTGGGTCGCTGGACAGCAGGATATTTGAGGAAGGAGATTGTGCAAGAGCAAGAGCAAAGACAAAGCAATCATCAATTGAAACAGTAGAGAGAGAATCATCAAATTTGTAAAAATTCTAACAAAAATTTACAAAAATTCATTATCTTCTTTTTTTTTTTTTCTCTTTCATCTGGGTTCTCCGAGAACCAAAATCGGGGTTCTCGGAGAACTCCTGGAGAACCCAGATCGGGTTCTGAAGGAGAACCTAAATCTGGGTTCTCTTGGAGAACCCAGGAGAAGAAAAAATCCGAGAGAACCCAGATCTAGATGTAGAGGTAGCTCATTTGTTCTTTATTCTTATTATAAGGATTTTGTGACAGTAACAATAAAAGGCTCAAAATTGGAATTGGAAAGAATCTTGACGATTTTCACAACCATTGATTTCTCAAGCAATCGATTCTATGGGGAAATTCTTGAAGAGTTAGGAGAACTCAATTCACTTAAATTGCTAAACTTGTGGGCCAAATACCTCAAGGGAAGCAGCTCAACACTATCTCAAATGATTCTTACATTGGGAACTCTGCATTGTGAGGATTACCGTTGACAAAGAAATGCCACAACGAGGAAGAACTAGGAGCACCTCCATCACAATTTGATGAAGAAGATGACTCTGCAGCACTCTTTAATTGGAAGTTTGCAGATGGAGAACTCAAAAAAGCAAAGAGGGGGAAAGGAGAGTAGAGAGAGGGAGAAAGGAGAGTAGAGAAAGCAAGAGGGCTGTGCTGGTAGTAACGGACAGAGACGGATTAAGTAACGGACAGAGACAGATTAAGTAACGGACAATAATGAGTGTGACGGAGTGTGTAACGTACATGGTAAATGTATCACTGTCCTATATTATATGTGTGTATGGGAATCAAAAACCACTATATGTACTAATATTTATATTTATTATTATTTTATTTTGAGTTATGTAATAAAAGATAAATTTTTTTATATATCTTTTAACAATTATATGGCTCAAATTTAAAAATTTTATTTTTATTAAAAAAATTACTATCAAATTACATAATATTACGTTAAAACATTTCTTTTCTTGTGGACACTATTTTTCTATATAAATGATCTTTGCGGAGTTGAAGATTGTGGTGTTTTCAAAATTGTGGATGATCATGCTAAAACATATGTATATAGGTTAGATACAATGCATCC